AAACAATCAACAAAGCTAACAGACAATCTGTGGAATAAGAGAAAATATTTCCAAACTCTTCATCTAACAAGAGACTAATATCCAGAAAATACAAGGAACTAAAACAACTCAACAACAGTCATCATTATCATCAGCATCATCATCATTGTATCATAATCTCATTAAAAATGGGCAAAAGACCTGAACAGACATTTTCAAAAAGACCACACAAGTGATCAACTGGTATATACAAAAAATGCTCAACATCTCTAATCATAAGAAAAAGGCAAATCAATACCACAATGAGATATCATCTCACCTAGTTAGAATGGCTGTTACCAAATAGAGAAAACATAACAAATACTGGTGAAGATGTAGGAAAAAAAATGAATCATTATACACTGTTGGTGGAAATGCAATTTAATACAGCCATTATGAAAAAAACAACACAGAGGTTTGTAAAACACTAAATATATAATTACCACATGATCCAGCAATCTCGCTACTGAGTATTTAGCCCAAGGAAAGGACATTAGTGTATCAAAGGGATTCTTGCACCCTCATGGTTTTCAGCACTATTGACAATAATCAAGATATGAAATCAACCTAAGTGTCCATCAATGGATGAATGAAAAAAGAAAATATGTCATTCATACCTGATAAAATGCTATTCAGCTATTAAAATGAAGGAAATCCTGTCAATTGCAGCAAAATGGATGAAACTGCAGGTTAAATGAAATAAGCTGAGCAGAGAAAGAGAAATATCACATCTTCTTAATCATTTGTACGAGCTAAAAAAGTTGTTTTCATGAAGGTAAAGAATAGAAAGATGGTTAGTAGAGAATAGGAAGTGTGGTGGAGGATGAGAGAGGTTGGTTAATGTTTGCCAACATACAGTTAGATAGAATAAATAAGATCTGGTGTTTGATAGCAGAGTTGAGTGACTCTGTTTCCGATATATAAAATGATAAATGTTTGAGGTAATGAAGATCCTAAACACCTTGATTTGATCATTACAGATTAAATGCGTATATCAGGATATCATATATAGCCCACAATATGTATAGATGTATCAATACAAATAATAAATTTAGCATTGGTTAAATGTTTTATTGTATGACACAGACTGTTCTAAATGCCTTATGTATTGATACATTTAATTATAAAAAAGAACATATGATTTATAAATCATTCTACTATAAAGACACATGCACATGTATGTTTATTGCAGCACTGTTCACAATAGCAAAGACTTGGAACCAACTCAAATGCCCATCAATGATAGACTGGATAAAGAAATTGTGGCACATATACGCTATGGAATACTATGCAGCCATAAAAAAGGATGAGTTCATGTCCTTTTCAGGCACACGAATGAAGCTGGAACCCATCATTCTCAGCAAACTAACACAAGAACAGAAAACCAAACACTACATATTTTCACTCATAAGTGGGAGTTGAACAGTGAGAACACCTGGACCTAAGGAGGGAAACATCACACACCGGGGCGTGTCAGTGGGGTGGGGGTAGGGAAGGAGTAGCATTAGGAGACATACCTAATGTAGATGATGGGTAAATGAGTATAGCCAACCACCATGGTACGTGTATACCTTTGTAACAAACTTGCACATTTGCACATGTATCCAAGAACTTAAAGTATAATTTTTAAAAAATTAAAAAGAATATGTGATTTAGAATTATTTCTTAGACTGCACATAATATTCTCAATGTAGCTGCTCTTTTATTTTACACAAGAATAGGATGGTGGTGTGCAAGGGAGGTAATGTGCTGTTTTTAAATTTTTTTTCAATTATCATCCTGAAGGAGAGCGCTCACTGACATATATCTTTGTAAATTGGCTGTTTTGCTACCTGCAAAGTTTGTATTTAAGCAGCAAGCACTATTTCATACAATTTATAAAAACACTAAGATGTGCTCTGGGTAACAGAATTGTTTTAATACATTTTTAGTGTAAGATTTCAAACACTTTTTTTTCTAATTTTTATTCTGAAATTTTCAAACGTGAAGAAAAGTTTAAAGACACTGAGTGAACATCTGAACACCTCTACCTCTTTGTGCATATTCTCAGACTCATCAATGGCTAACATTGTAGCCACTTCGTGTTTTCTCTGCTCTTCCTCTCTCTCTCTACTTATACACACACACACACACACACGTGTATATGATTATATATATACACATATTTATGTGTATATATACACATATATGTATATATACACATATATACACACATTTATGTAATTTACAAATTTACATGAATGATGTTCATATTTAATTTTTTGATAAACCATTTGAAAATAAGTTGCAAGCATCACATGTTATACCTAAATAATTCAACATACACCTCTTACAAATAAAGACATGCCTTATATAGCCACAATATCATCACCACATTGTGTGAATATCTTGTTTGTCAACAATGTTTTGCCTGACAATTTTAGTACCTATCGATGATAATGAATGACAAAATTAATCATACAGTAGAGGTGGTAGAATGGTGATTTTGTATGCCCTCAATATTTCTTAGTGAACATTCTTTGTAAAGAAGAGTACTCTACCACCACATACACATATTTAAAAAAATTAACCTTCCTCTCCCTTTTCCACCTTTTTTTAGGTTATCAATATGAACTCATGGATTTCAAAAAAAATAAGGTGTTATATACACTTACACTGATATTCTTTTAATGATAAAATTGTCCAATATTTGTCTAGTAAAATTCCTTAAACTTGACTCCTGTTTTTTTTTTAAATAATTCCATTAGACTTCTAAAGTTTTGGCTCTAGTCCCTGACTTTCAGATAGCACTTCTGGACCCACCTGGGGATTGGAGGTACTTGCTGCCCTGAAGGTAAGGTCACAGACCTTCCTGGCATTGCTACCTGCTGACTGTAGAGTCCCAAATCCTTGGGTGAACAAAGAAAGCAGCCAGGGAGTGGTTACAGTGGGTTTTGGGTTGAACTCAGTGTTGTGCTGGCTTAAGGTGTGACACAATGCAGACCTAGTGATGACAGCCACAGAGGTGCTTGTGTCACACCACCCCCAGCTTTATTTAGGTGGCTTATAACAGAGATAGAGACTCTGTATGTTTGAAAAAAAAGTGAAGGATAAAGAACAAGGGTATCTGCCTGGTAATCCAGATAAATCTCCTGGACCTCGTAGAAGACCATCAAGGTGGTATCTCTATGAGTCTGCAAGAACCACAGTGTTACTGGGCTTAACATGCCCCCTAAAGGAGATAAAGTGTTGATCACAGCATTTGAGTCTTTCATTATCTGGAAAGCCTTCCACAGAAGGATGGCTACAAATAAACCCAGACAGTGAAGACTACAATAAATAACTCTTCAATGCCCAGATGCTGAAGAACATTAACTAGCATCAACACCATCCAGGAAAATATGACCTCACCAAAGAAACTAAATAAGGCACCAGGGACCAATCATGGACAAAGAAATATATATGACCTTTCAGATAGAGACTTCAAAATAACTGTGTTGAGGAAACTCAAAGAAATTCAAGATAACACAGAAAAGGAATTCAGAATTATATCTGATAAACTGAACAGAGATTGAATTTATTCAGAAGAATCAAGTAAAAATCCTAGAGCTGAAAAATGCAATTGGCATGCTGAAAAATTCATCAGAGAACTTTAATAGCAGAATTGACCAAGCAAAAGAAAGAATTAGTGAGACTGAAGACAAGGTGTTTGAAAATACACAGTTGCGAGACAAGAAAAGATAATTTTTTAAAAATGAATCTTGCATACAGAATCTAGAAATTAGCATCAAAAGAACAAATCTAATAGTTATGGACCTTAAAGAGGAGGTAGAGAAAGTAATGTGGTAGAATGTTTATTCAGTTTGATAATAACAGAGAACTTCCCAAACCTAGGAATGACAGAGAACTTTTCAAACCTATTGATAAATATATCAATATTCAAGTATGAGAAGATCATAGAACACCAAGCAGATTTAACCCAAAGAAGACCAAAGAAGTTTGAATAATCAAACTCCCAAAGGTCAAAGACCAAAAGGGATCCTAAAAACAGAATGAAAAGCAGAAAAAAAAAAGAAAAAAGAAAAGAAACAAATAACATGCAATAAAGCTTCAACATGTCTGGAAGCAGACTTTTCAGTGGAAACCTTAAGGACCAGGTGAGAGTGGCATGACATATTTAAAGTTCTAAAGGAAAAAAAAAAAAAAAAAACTTTTACTATGGAAGAGTATATCCAGTGAAAATATTATTCAAACATGAAGGAGAAATAAAGGCTTTCCCAGACAAACAAAACTAAGAGATTTCTTCAATACCAGACCTGTCCTACAGAAAATGCTAAAGAAACTACTTTGATTAGAAAGAAAAAGACATAATCATCTGAAGGTACAAAACTCACTGATAATAGTAAGTACACATAAAATCACAGAAAATTAAAACACTAACTGTGGTGTGTAAACTACTCTCATCTTAAGTAGAAAGAATAAACAATGAACAAATAAAAAATAATAAGTAGAACAACTTTTCAAGACACAGTCAGCACATAAAGATATAAATACAAACAACAATAAATTATAAAGAAGGAGGATGAACTTAAGACTTAAGAGTTTTTATTGTTTTCTTTGCTTGATTTTTGTTGTTTATGCAAATAGTGGTGTTATCAGGTTTAAAAAATGAGCCATAGGATAGTATTTGCAAGTCACATGGTAATCTTGAACCAAAAAAATACACAATCAATACACAAAAAAATGAAAAACAATAAATTAAATCATATTACCAGAGAAAATTTGCTTAACTAGAGAAAGATAGGGAAAACAAGAAGCAAGTGAAGACCATAAAACATCCAGAAAGCAAAAAATAGAATGGCAAGATTAAGACCTTACTTATCCATAATAACATTGAATGTAAATCAATTAAACTCTCCAATCAAAACACATAGATTGGCTAAAAGAGTAAAAAAACAAGACCCATTGATTAGTTGCCTACAAGAAATGAACGTCAGACCTTGCCTGCACCCTCCCGGAGCCAGCAGTTCTTCAAGTACCCAGCATCCAGCGAGACGTGCAGAGCACCAAGGGAGGGGACATGGGCAGAGCAATGGTGGCCAGGCTTGGGCTGGGGCTGCTGCTGCTGGCACTGCTCCTACCCATGCAGATTTATTACAATGAAACAACTGTTGTGACAGTTTCAAGTAACTCCTCCCAGAGTACTTCGACTGCCCCAAATCCAGCTAATGCCACCATCAAGGCGGTTGGTGGTGCCCTGCAGTCAACAGCAAGTCTCTTTGTGGTCTCACTCTCTCTTCTACATCTCTACTTGTTAAGAGACTCGGGCCAAGAAACATCTTCTAAACTTCTCCATCTTCTAAACCCAATCCAAATGGCATCTGGAAGTCCAATGTGGCAAGGAAAAACAGGTCTTCACCGAATCTACTAATTCCACACCTTTTATTGACACAGAAAATGTTTAGAATCCCAAATTTGATTGGTTTGAAGAACATATGAGAGGTTTGACTAGATGATAGATGCCAATATTAAATCTGCTGGTGTTTCATGTACAAGATGAAGGAGAGGCAACATCCAAAATAGCTAAGACATGATTTCCTTGAATGTGGCTTAAGAAATATGGACACTTAATACTACCTTGAATATAAGATTAGTAATAAAGGATGTGATTGTGGAATGGAGATTCAGTTTTCATCTGGTTCATTAATTCTATAAGGCCATAAAATAGGTAATATAAAAAGCTTCCATGATTTTATTTATATGTACATTAGAAGGAACTTCCAGGTGTTACTGCAATTTCTCAACGTGTTGTTTCAACAGTACTAATTTAATGCTGATATATTCTAGATGAAGTTTTACATTGTTGAGCTATTGCCGTTCTCTTGGGAACTGAACTCACTTTCCTCTTGAGTCTTTGGATTTGACATTGCATTTGACCTTTTATGTAGTGATTGACATGTGCCAGGGCAATGGTGAATGAGAATTTACCCCCGGGTCCAAGCATTCTGAGAAACTCTTGATTATCCATATAGAGTCAAATGGTAGGCATTTCCTATCACCTATTTCCATTCAACAAGAGAGCTACATTCATTTAGCTAAACAGATTCCAAAGAGTAGAATTGTATTGACCGTGACTAATTTCAAAATGCTTTTATTATTATTATTTTTTTTAGAGGGAGCCTCACTTTGTCGCCCAGTCTGGAGTGCAGTGGCGCGATCTCAGCTCAGTGCACCCTCTGCCTCCCAAGCTCAAGCAATTCTCCTGCCTCAGCCTCCTAAGTAGCTGGGATTACAGGCACCTGCCACCATGCCTGGCTAATTTTTGTAATTTTACTAAAGACAGGGTTTCACCATGTTGCCCAGGCTGGTTTTGAACTCCTGACTTCAGGTGATCCACCTGCCTCGGCCTCTCAAAGTGCTGAGATTATAGGCTTGAGTCCCTGCGCCTGGCCATCAAAATGTTTTTTATTTCTGCATATGTTGAATATTTTTTACAATAAAAAAATGATCTGTTTTGAAGGCAAAATTGCAAATTTTGAAATTAAAAAGGCAAAAATGTAAAGGAATCAAAACTGTAAATCAAGTATTTGGGAAGTGAAGACTGGAAGTTAATTTGCATTAAATTCACAAAAACTTTTATACTCTTTCTATATATATACTTTTTTTTTCTTTAAAAAATAATTGTGGATCAGAATAGCCACATTTGGAACACTTTTTGTTATCAATCAATATTTCTAGATAGTTAGAACCTGGTCCTAAGCCTAAAAGTGGGCTTGATTTGACAGTAAATCTTTTACTACTGCCTCGACACACAGAAACCTTTTAAAAAGTAGACACTCCCTGAAGTCTTTTGTTCACATGGTCACACACTGATGCTTAGATGTTCCAGGAATCTAATATGGCCACAGTAGTCTTGATGACCAAAGTCATTTTTTTCCATCTTTAGAAAACTACATGGGAACAAACAGATTGAACACATCTGAAGCTACGGTGTGTGTGAATGAACACTCTTTTGCTTTATTCCAGAATGCTGTACATCTATTTTGGATTGTATATTGTGTTTGTGTATTTATGCTTTGATTCATAGTCACTTCTTATGTTATGGAATTGATTTGCATTGAATACAAACTGTAAATAAAAAGAAAGAAATGGCAAAAAAAAAGAGAGAAAGAAATGCACCTTATCTATAAAGGCATACCTAGACTGAAAATAAAGAGATGAAATGATATTCCATACCAATGAGAACCAAAACAGAGCAGAAGTAACTGTATTTATGTCAGGCTAAATAGATTTCAAGACAAAGCCTATAAGTAGATACAAAGAAGTTCACTCTATAATGATAAATAAGTGAATTTAGCAAGAGAATATAGCAATGTCATTATAAGTTTTATTTAATTTTATTTGAAGTTCAGGGGTACAAGTGCAGGTTTGTTATGTAGGTAAACTTGTGTCATGGGTTTTTTTGTATAGATTTTTTCATCCGGGTATGTTTTTCCCTTTTTAAAATTACTTTTCCATAAGTTTGGGGGGTACAAGTGGTATTTTGTTACATGAGTAAGTTCTTCTGTAGTTATTTGTCAGATTTTAGTGCACCCATCATCACAGCAGTATACACTGCACCATATTTGCAGTATTTTATACCTTGCTCCCACCCCTACACTTCTCCCCAAGTCCTCAAAGTCCATTGTATTATTCTTATGCCTTTGCATTCTCATTGCTTAGCTTCCACATATCAGTGAGAACATGTGATATTTCATTTTCCATTCCTGAGTTACTTCACTTAAAATAATTATCTCCAGTCTCATCCAGGTCACTGCAAATGCTGTCAGTTCATTACATTTTATGGCTAAGTAGTATTTGATCACATATATACACCACAATTTCTTTATTCACTTGTTGATTGATGGGCAGTTGGTTTGGTTCCAAGATTTTGCAATTGTGAACTGGGCTGCTATAATCATGTGTGTGCAAGTATCTTGTTTGTATAGTGGCCTCTTTTCCTCTGAGTAGATATTCAATAGTGGGATTGCTGGATCATATGTAGTTCTGTTTTTAGTTCTTTAAGGAATATCCACACTGTTTACTGTTTTCCATAGTGGCTGTACTAGCTTACGTTCCCACCACTTGTAGAAATGTTCCGTGATCACCGCATTCACACTGACATTTACTGTTTTTTAAATTTTTTGATTATGGACATTCTTCTGGGAGTAAGGTGGTATTGCATTGCATTTTTATTTGCATTTCTCTGCTCATTAGTGATGTTGAGCATTTTTTCATATGCTTGTTGCCTGTTGTATTTTTTTTTTTTTTGAGAATTGTCTATTTAGGTTCTTAGCCCACTTTTTGATGGGATTGTTTGTCTTACGATTTTTTTTAAGTTCATTGTAGATTCTGGATATTAGTCCTTTGTCAGAAGCATAGCTTGTGAAAACTTTTTCCCCCTCTGTGGGGTTCCTGTTTAGTCTGCTGACTTCCTTTTGATGTGAAAAAGCTCTTTAGTTTAATTAGGTCCCAGCTATTTATGGTTTTTGTTTGTTTGTCTTGTGTTGCATTTGCTTTTCGGTGTTTGATCATGAAATTCTCAGCTAAGCCAATGTCTACAAGGGTTTTTACAATGTTATATTTTAGAATTTTTATAGTTTCAAGTCTTAGGTTTAAGTCCTTAACCCATCTTTAGTTGATTTTTGTATAAGTTGAGAGATGATGATACAATTTCATTCTCTCACATGTAACCAGCCAATTATCCCAGCATTATGTTGAAAAGGGTGTCCTTTCCCCACTTTATGTCTTTTGTTTGATTTCTCGAAGATCATTTGGCTGTAAATATTTGGGTTAATTTCAGGGTTCTCTATTCTGTTCCATTGGTCTATGTGCCTATTTTTATATAAGTACCATGCTGTTTTTGTGACTATGGCCTTATAGTATAGTTTAAATTCAGGGAGTTTGATGCCTCCAGATTTGTTCCATTTTTGCTTAGTCTTCCTTTGGCTATGTGGGCTCTTTTTTGGTTCCATAGAAAGTTTAGTATTTTTTTTCTAATTATGTGAAGAATGATGGGGGGTATTTTAATGGGGATTACATTAAATTTGTAGATTGCTTTTGATAATATGATCATTTTCACAATATTGATTCTACCCATCCATGAGCATGGGATGTGTTTCCATTTTTTGTGTCATCTGTTATTTCTTTCTGCAGTGTTTCATAGTTTTCCTTGTAGAGTTCTTTCGACTCCTTGGTTCGGTATAATCTTAAGTTTTCTTTTCTTTTCCTTTTTTTTTTTTTTGCTGCTGTGGTGAATGGGGTTGAGTTCTTGATTTGATTCTCCACTTGGTCGCTGTTGGTGTATAGAAGAGCTACTGATTTGTGTATATGAACCTTGCATCCAAAAAGTTTGCTGAATTCTTTTGTCAGTTCTAGGAGCTTTCTGAAGGATTCTTTAGGATTTCTTTTTTTTTTTTTAATTTATTTATTATTATTATACTTTAAGTTGTAGGGTACATGTGCATAACGTGCAGGTTTGTTACATATGTATACTTGTGCC